CACACAGCTGCAGCACCTGTGCCGAATCCAGCTTTTCTAAACAGATAGTGCTCAGAGAGGTTTGTCCACTGAGCACACCTGAGAGAATTAGAGAATTAGAATTACAATTTGGTATGAATCAAATTGTGATTCATACCATTATGAACTATGGCTGGATATTGACACAGGTTTCACAAAACCATTCCAATTAATTTGGATAGTTGTCAGGAAAACAATCTCTCAACTAATGCGGTAAACTATACAGGAAACCCTGTCAGTTGGTATATTGCTATAATATTGAATGTTAAAATTAATAACAGAGGCCAAATTTTATTGATATTTATAGTTATAATCAACACTCAAATAAAAACGGAGTTGTATGCAAACATTTAAATTGCACATACGGCAGCTTTTCTATCAGTTTTATATTGGTAATTGCAATTTTTTAATCTTACAATTCTGACTTGTTTTCCTCAGAATTTCTTGTTTATATCCTGCAATTGTGATTCTGAGGAAGAAAAAAAATAAAAAAAAGTGTCTGAAATTTGGGAAATTACAGAAACAGAATGGCTAGATATAAACTCGCAATGTCAAGAAAAGTCAAAATTCTGAGGAAAAAAAGTCATAATTACAAGATTCAAACTCAGAATTAAAGAAAAAAATGTCACAATTCCAGGAAAAAAGTCATAATTACGAGAAATAAACTCTGAAATCTGAGGGGGGAAAGTCCGAATTGTGAAATGAAGTAGCTTCCATATGTTTCTACTCCAATTCATGATCAAAATATACATCTTTAAACAATGGCTGCCGTCAAAGTATGAAAATGAAAGATTTATTCAAACATACATTAAATAATGAAGACATCACTAACAGGTTAAGTAAAAAATATAATGAATATGTAGTAAAGAAGTGCACATATTTATCCAAATGCTCCTCTTTAGAGCTTGGTCGATGTCACAGCACACTAAACGGCGTTAAAAAAATGATTGTTTGAATTTTGTGATCAAATTGACAATGTAAAAGCTGTAACTTTGTTTTATATCAAAAGTAACAGCACAACATTTGCATTTGGATTGGTGCTTACCTTTCAGAAGAGGCTGAAAGGTGGGAATTTCCTGTAGTTTTATTACATCTGGATCATTATGGATATTCCGTAATGACTGAGTGCCTTGGGCAACAACTACTATGTCATCCATTTTGGCTCGATGCTTGGCTGGAGAGGGTACAACTGAAACAACAAAACAGAACTAAATAACAGGTAATGGTAGAATATTTACAACATAAGAATGCCATTTCATTTCCATGTAACATATTTCACATCAAGAATAAACAGTGTGAGCAAGTAAAAATCGCGTTATTAATATAATGTTGAGTACCTGAAGCGCTGAAGTCTGAATGTTTATGTTCAGCATCTCCGCTTTGTTCAGCACCCATGGTGCACTCAGTCTATGCAGTCAACACAAGCACTGAACCAAAAAAAATAACAAAATTATATATAATAATATTTATACATTCGTGAGATGAAAAGGCATAATTACTTGTTTTATGTTTTTATTCTGTGGTGGAAGTAAGCTTCCATATGTTTCTGCTCCAATTCATGATCAAAATATACATCTTTAAACAATGGCCATGAAAATATGTTTTCATGAAAGATTTATTCAAACTCATTAAATAATGAAGACATCACTAACAGGTTAAGTAAAAATATAATGCATATGTAGCAAAGAAGCGTTAGTATTATATATAATCCTATGCATACATTTGACAACAACGATTATACATCCAATACATAAGTACGATACAAATGTGTTTCTTGAAATTTGATTTAATACATATGCACGACTACATAATGCTTGACATACCTTAATGTTGTTATTTTCAGCTGTTTGTCTGGGGCGATTTCATTCGGCTGACTGTTTAGTTGAATGAACGGCTTGCTAACGTTTTACATTGTAACTTAAAGACATTGTGAGATGTTAAACCACAATACGGGTTGCAGATAACGTCTACAATCTATATTTGTTAGCAAATAAATCACTAGAGGAACAAAAAGTCAAACATCCGGTCTGATAACGTGAGACGCGTGCTGATGACGTCACGGGTTTGTTTACATGTGACCATCCAGAGATTTTCTCCTATTCTTGGTAGCTTTCCATTTACAACTAAAAGAAAAGTACACTCTATATTTAAAGAGAGACACAGAAAACAGAAAATCAATTTTAGAAAAATAGTAATATTTAATATAATAAATAGTAATTATAATTAATAGTAAAATAATATGTGTGTGTATGTATGGGTGTATATGTGTAT